CCTCGCAGCTGAACGCAAGGCTGCCCGCTTGCAGCCCCAAAGTGGGTGCTCCCGGGTGGGGGCCACGGGCAGCCCCACGCCCTGCGCAGCTGTGGGCACTCACTGTAATCCGTCTCCTTCTCCGGGAGCAGCTGCGGAGGGAAGAAACAGCGAATGAGAGGCACAAAATCCTGGAGGCAGAGAAGAGGGAGGAGGCATCCCCACCCCTTCCCAGGCTTCTGGTGGGGAGCTCCAGACCACCAGTGTTTCACCCCATTAACATCTGCAGATTAATTTTCCCAATGCGAGGGGCACATATATAAATATCTATCGCCCGACCGTGCCAAAGCAAATGAGGATCTCTAGAGACCCCCCAGGAGAAGGACCCCCTGCACCCAAATACACCCCGACCCGGTCTCTCCGGGGCCAGCACCACTCACCGGAGGAGCGTTGTTGTTCATAAACACTGTTGGGTCCTGCAAAGGGAGAGAAGCTTTGTGAGAGCCATGGAAAAAAGGAAAAAGAAAGGAAAAAAGGGGATTTTCCTGATTTCTGGGGGACTCGAAACGCATGACAGGAACGCGTCTCTGCAGGGTCCGGGCATGTGGGAGGGGAAGTGGTTTCATGCCCATCGCTGGTCCCATCCCATCCCATCCCATCCCATCCCATCCACCCCTATCTGCTCCCTGCCTGCTCCAAGGGTACCAGAAACCTCAAACTGCTGCTCCAAATAAAATGAAGCTTAATTCAAGCAGCTGTTTGCAGCAGCTCAGTATCCGATAGCCCCGGGGGCGAGGGGAGCTGGGCTTTGCTTCACCAGCTGCGTGAGTCTATCAAATAAAAGATTTTCTGTCTCCTTCCAAGCCTGTCTCACCACAAGCTGATGGATTAGTCACACATTAGCTATCTCCACTCCTTATTTCAAAAGCATTATAAAAGCTCATTAAGACGCAATTGCAAGTATTTAAAATTTGCCCAAGCTTCAAAATATTAATTTTGAAATGAAGCAGCTCCATGAGGTTTTTACGGGTGCGGGAAATAAGGGGACGCAAGAGGTTTGGCTGCTGGCGGAGCCGTTCCTCCAACGAAAACTGGCTTTTCCAGCCATGAAGCGCAAACTCA